CACATTTGATTGTACACCTCCCATCACATAATGTGGATGCTGCTGAAAGTGAAAAATGAACATCCCAGCGTTCTGAGTTTTTGTCCTTGGTGGTGATGGGATGTGGTGGATGTCACTTATTCCATCAGCGTTCGCATTCCTCAAGACCTGGACACCAAGATCTGGCAGCTTTTAGTTATAGAAGAAGAACCCTTTCTCTTGCCCACTGATTCCAGCCCGCCTGGGCTCTAAGTATCCCAGCCTATGAGTTCAGACTGGACAGTGACACCACTGCTTCAGTGGTTTAGAGCCTTGGGGGACCTCTCGCCCCATGCTGGACGCCCTCTTGGGTCAGAAAACGTAATTTTTGCTCTCTTTGCTTTAACCATTGAATAGGTAATAATTAACATGGTCATAGATAGAGTCAAGAAGACCTAGAAGGCAGATGGCGAAATAGGATCTGAAAGTTCTGGAAGTATGCTAAGCTGACAACCCAGTGCCATAACCTTCAGGCAGAAGGGTCCTGGCTGTGAATATCCATTCTCTTCAAGACCTTTTGGGTTTACTCACACTCCACCAGACAACCAAGGTAATCCTTAGCAGAGATTCAGCAGGGACTAAAGACCCACCCACCCTGAGCTCAGATTCACTTGCAAGGCCAGTGGGCGCCCGCCTCCAGCCCTCTTGAGTCTGTTCCAGGATTTTCCCGGGGTGGGTCCAGGGATCCCTCCAGCGCACTGTCGCGGTGCCTTGTTAGTCTCCCAAAGAAATCTCTCCTTCCAGTCCGCCCCTAGGGCCAGCGAGGCGCGCTGGGCTTGGGGACTGTCAGTGTGCCTTCGCATCTGTCCAACTCAGGTGCTCACAGCACCTACCACGAGAGAGGTGGCTGTGGCTAATCCCCAGGCCAGAAATCCAGCCCCAAGCAGGAGCTGCTTTGCCTCTGTGGCCCAGACCTGAGTTCAAGTCCTGACTGTTGGGTGTCCTTAAAGCAACTGACTCGGTCTCTCTAAACCTTAGTTTCCTCAATGTAGATAATTTTGTACCCACCACATGGGTTCCCAGGGGTCAGTGAGATAACGAAAGTAAAGGGCTTCACAGAACTCTGGGTGCTCAGTAAATGCGCGATGAGTAAACGCTAGTCATTACTATTAGTTATTGCAATAGATCTGCTTTGTCCACTAGACTGTAAGCTACTGGAGGACAGGAACCCTCAGAACCTGGCACAGTGCCTGACACCGTAGGCAGGAGGGGTGTGGCTGACTGAGACTCTCAAGGTCATGGGAGAGGTGAGGGAGAGAGAGGGAGAGCGAGGGACCGCTAAAGATGGGAGAAATCCGAGACAGTCTCTGAGCTGAAGGCAAAGGAGACTTGAGGATGCAGCGGAGGGGCCGCCGGGGCAGCACAGAGCAGAAGACTCAGGGCCATCAACTCTCTAAACAGCCGCTCCTGCCATCTCAGGACCCTGGACCCAACTCGCGGTCCCCCAAAGTTTTCTCGAGGTCACCCCCATCCCACGGGTGTGTTTCCTTTACGTCCTTTCACCCAGTCAATGCAAGGGAAGGAAAAAAAGTGGGATCCAAGGATGCAGACCCCTGGGTCAGGGATCTCATCTACCTAAGGGCCAAAGAGGCTGCACCCCGAGTCCTGGGAGGCCACACTAGGGGAAACGAAGAAAACAATATTGAAGACATTAGCACAAAACAAGGTCGAGAAATTATTGGACGAGAGTTGTCCCCAAGAAGATGCAATGTCCAACAAAGAAGGGATGAGAGCATAGGATCTGATCCTGGAAAGCTGGAGATGGGATGCTCCCATAAACCAAACCTCTACCCTCTCCTAATGCCTTTGAGTTCTAGAACAACCCCAAAGAGATTCAGAAAGTGCAGGTTCCTAGAGCTACTATTTCAGGGACGAAAATACGAAAGAATGCCTCTCACACCAATGGCCTGGCAACCTGTGTTTCCTGGACGGTCGATGAGACTGCAAAGTGGGGGCCGGGGGCAGCCCAGCCAAAGCGGTGTGACTGCCAAGTGAGGTAGGCGAATGAGAATAGGCCTTTCCCTCTGCACACGATGGGCGCGCTGGCGCCCACCCCGCGCTCCTTGCCGGCAGGGGGCATTCTCTCCCTTGTCACGCCCCTCAGGGTCGACTTTCTGTATAACGGAGGACGCCAGATGGTCCAGTAGAGTCAGTGCCCTAGGCCAGGCAAAGTCCTGAAATTCTGACTCGGCAAGCGGGGAGCGGGGAAGTAGAGGGCTGAAAGCAAGGCACAGCTGACAGGTTTTCCAGGGCCTCTCACCTTCTGCTGGAACCCGGAGCTCTTCAGCCAAGGCTCACTGTAAATACCCTGTGACTTGCGCTATGGCAACAGAGAAATGAAGAGGTACCTAACTCAAAGGAAGTCGTGCCTACCTTCGAACCTCGGTGTTTATCCGTACTATGGGAACGATGATTCTGTCCCTGCCTGGCAAGGGGTGCCGTGAGGCACTCGCGAGAGGAAACGGTTAAGACTCCATGCCCAGATAAAGTGCCGCAGCGACAATCTGGTGGACACGGAAACGAAAGCAGAAAAGTCTGAGCTATTCACCTGGAATATAAGGCTAGAGCAGAGACACTGAGCTCTCCTTCCCTCATCCTTCTCTAGGTCCCTGCGGAGTAAAGAATGTGGGAGGGGGGAAAGGAGGGAGAGAAAACCGAAAGAAATGATTGGAAGGAAGGTGCCCTGAATCTGAGGAGGCAACTCTATTCCTCCAAACTCGGACTGAGCTCCCCCTTAACTCCTCTCAGACCACTATAGATAGAGCCATCGGTCTGCTCTGAACAGTAGACGAGAATGTCAGTTCTCTGCGGTACTGTCTCCCTGACCTCAGACCAAAGTGAGGAAATCATTTGAATGTTATGATGGGGTGATCAGATAATTTGGGCAAACCCAGATTCGTGTCTGGATTATCAGAATTAATACCTCAATCTTTACTTGATTCTCCAAATGAAGTCGTAATTTCTGCACCTCCCCCTCCCCCACCCCTTGCTCATTGCCTCTGGTCTCTTACATACACATACAGCCCCTTGTTTTCCAGTTAAAAGGGAACTGGAATCATAGTTCCTTCCAGGAAGATGACATTTTCTAGATCTCAGCTGACCTGGACTTTAGGCTATTAACGAAGGTTCTCACAGATAATAAAACACAAGCTTACCACCATGAAAAAGTCTGGAGGACATGCTTGGGCTGGGAGAAAAGGAGCAGAGAGAAGTAGAGAGGATGGCAAATGGATCTTTTATATCTCAGTTTCACAGGGGGGAAAAGTTTCTATATTAGGTCGAAACAGTTACCATTGTGGTGACAGAAAGACTTGAAATTTGGAGTCAAGACACCAAAAATCAATCTTGATTAAATATCAAGAGCTTAATTTTCTAACTGGGGCCCACGAAGCAGAAGGCTGAATGCAGGGATGAAGCACTGTGGTTCCGTGGTGGTGAGCCCCACCTCCCAAAGCATTTCCAACCAGCTCTCTTGTCTTCATTAGGGGCCTTCCTTAACCAGAAAGAAGGTTAGGAACAAAATCCAGGCAGATCTGAAGACGGATTACCTTCCTCATTATTCTGCAGAGGCTGAACTATGTGGATGTTGTAGCTTTAATTACATGCTTGCTTTCTCTGGGGAAGAAGACCAAAGATCGTATTTTTCAAAGTATCAACTTGTTTTCCATTAGGCCGTTGTTGTAACAAGTTCTTTCAGCGACATGTTATGTCTTTAGGAAGGAGGTGCTTCAGATGGCGCGCACTGGCACAATTTTGTGGCTTTTAATTACTATTTTGTTCTTTTGGGGGGTTTCAGAGGCTGGCGCCTCCGCAGTGATTAGACAGTCTACGGGGCCTGCCGCAACCACGCACACCTCCAGCAGGTGGCGTCATAAGGCAGGTATGAAGTAGGAACTGTGGACTTGGAGTCCAATAAAGGCAAGTGTCCCTCAACTCCGAACCTCGGTTCCCAACCACCAGGAAATAGAGATATAGAGGAAGTCGCCACTTAAGTTTAAAAGAAGAAATTGCAATGATAGGGCGGAACAGGATCCTAAAGTGAAAAAAAGACTGTAAAATAGGGTTAAATGCACACAACTTTTTCTATTTGTTTCTGTAAATATACGAAGACTTGTAATATCGAGACGACTCTCATCTAAGTAGTATTTCATTTCCTTTTTTGTAAAACATTGAGTTGAGAGTTAGAATGAACTTTGAAGACCATCGGATAAGTCTGGTCTAGCTTTCCAATCTAGAGAAGAAATCTCCAAGATGGCTTTTCGGGTGTCAATTAGCCGTATAACATATGTAGTTATTCAGAGTCTCCGCGTATCAAGAAAGTGCAGGGGGAAATGATGTCAAATAGTATATCGGTAGCAATAATATCTTTGAATCTATATAGCTTTTCTCTCAACAAGGAAAATCGTTTAAATATTATCTAATTAATTGTTCTAATATCCCTGCGGATTGGTTAGGAAGCCGGTATTATTATATAGTACGTGGTTTATGGATAATTTAAATCACTTGACTGTGTCAAGTGCCAAGTGGCTGACAAGAGTAAGTTTCAGACACTTCGAGGAAAAGCGGAGCTAGAGCTGGCCCGACTCTCTGCATCGCATTATTTTGATTAATGTTTGAAAGCTGACCTCAGACAAGAAGGTACGAATCACGGGAATAGATTGGCACTTGTACACAGAATGGGAAATGCCATTCTCCGTATTCACGCCTTCTGTCCTCCTGCCGCCGGTCACCTTAACTCCCCAGGCCACCCCCAGTCCCTTGCCTGGCTGCTCAAATTCAACAGCGGCCGGTCTGCATCCGGGACAACTGCAGCCGCAGCTCCAGCTCTGTGACACCCACCCCCGCTGCCCTGCTTTTCTGTGTGCCAGTAGCCCCGCGGGCCGGCGCTTCTCATTGGCTGTTGCTAGGTGACGTGGCCTGCGTTCACGTGACGAGTGTTAAATGCCTACCCTGCAGTAGCTTGCCCCACAGACAACCGTAAAGCTGCTGCGGGCTGCTTACCTGCTCCCACCTCCTGGAGCCCCGGCCCGGCCCCGCCACCCCTGCCCCTCCTCACTGCCCGCCCCCCGCCCGAACAGCGCTGGGCCAGGAGCCCAGAGGGCCAGGAGGCGGAGAGGATGCAGTCGGCTGCAACTGTCCCGAGCGGTGGACGGTGATCGCCTCCCCCGGAGGCGGAGTTGCCTAGACCGTTGCCACATTTCTTTTTTTCCTCCCCACTCCACCCCCCGTAATTACATTGGCTGTTAGAGGGGACCGAGAGAGACGGAGGAGGCGCCTTGCTTCCCCCCTTGTGCCCGCCACCCCTGCTCTTTCCCGTCCCAGGCCAGGATGACTGGAGTCTTTGACAGTCTGGTGGCTGATATGCACTCGACCCAGATCACGGCCTCCAGCACGTACCACCAGCACCAGCAGCCCCCGAGCGGTGGCGGCGCTGGCCCCGGCGGCAACAACGGCAGCAGCCTCCACAAGCCCCAGGAATCGCCCACCCTCCCGGTATCCACAGCTACCGATAGCAGCTACTACACCAACCAGCAGCACCCCGCGGGCGGCGGCGGTGGGGGCTCGCCCTACGCGCACATGGGTTCCTACCAGTACCACGCCGGCGGCCTCAACAACGTCCCTTATTCCGCCAAGAGTGGCTACGACCTGGGCTACACCGCCGCCTACACTTCCTACGCACCATACGGGGCCAGTTCTTCCCCGGCCAACAACGAACCTGGTATGTACAACTCTGGTGTCAAGGATGCCAAGTCGGTCTAGCTACTGGGAAGGGTGGGATAAAAATGTTTGGGGTGGGATAAAAGCCTCCAGAGCCCTGGCCTTTCACACTACCTCCTCCCGGCCCGCCCCGCTCCCTTTACCCTTTAAACCTCCAGCTGGCCGAGGGTCAGCGGGTACGTCCCTCGGAGCTTAGCTGGTCGGACCAGGTGGACTCAGGGGCTGTGCGGTGCATGCCTCGTGGTAACCTCATTTCCTTGCCACCTGCTTCTCCTTTCTCTCCGGTCTGCGCCGGTCTTCCCCTTTGCTAGAGGGCCCGGCTCCCAGATTGGGTGGCTGCACAGTCAACCCGTTGCGAAGTTGAGCCTGAGAACCCGACTCCCGGCTCCCGCCAAATCCCACGCCCGGCCTCTCTGCAGGAGGGAGCTCTTGGGCTCCCCTGATTCCGCGGTTCTCACGATTCCGTTTCATTGCAGAGAAAGAGGACCTCGAGCCTGAAATCCGGATAGTGAACGGGAAGCCAAAGAAAGTCCGGAAACCCCGCACCATCTACTCCAGTTTCCAACTGGCGGCTCTTCAGCGGCGTTTCCAAAAGACTCAATACCTGGCACTGCCCGAGCGAGCCGAGCTGGCGGCGTCTCTGGGCCTCACCCAGACTCAGGTAAGGGCTCGCGGACTGGGGAGGCAGGGGACATGCAGGGCGCTGGTCTGAGATTTCCGGGAAGCAGCGAGTTGAGGACAATGTTTTAGTTTTTATATTTTTCAAAAAAAATTTTTTAAAGGATTTAGAGGTCGGCATCTTGGGCGGTCTAACCTTCTACACTCAAAGCTGAATTCCCCGAGGGGAAGGACAGGGTAGGCAGAAATCTGATATCAAGTTGTCTTTCCGCGCGCTACTTATAAACCGGGTAAAAGAATTGGCCCTCCTGACCCCCTCCCGCTGTCACCATCACCACAGTGCACACACGTCAGCTGTCTTGGGCTTTTGAGATGACCTTCCTGTGGCGTGGGAACCATCGCAGCCTCCAAGGCCGCGGCACGTGATCCGCCTACCTGCCCAGGGTGTCCAGTACCCACTTCTTGCTGATGGTCTTTCTACGCTTCCTCCCCTTCCTTTCCCCCGTGTTGAGTTTCCTCCACTAATGCTCTGGTCTCTTTTCCACAAAGGTCAAAATCTGGTTCCAGAACCGTCGATCCAAGTTCAAGAAGATGTGGAAAAGTGGTGAGATACCCTCGGAGCAGCACCCTGGGGCCAGCGCCTCGCCTTCTTGTGCTTCGCCGCCGGTCTCGGCGCCGGCCTCCTGGGACTTCGGCGCGCCGCAGCGTATGGGGGGCGGCCCGGGCAGCGGCGGCAGCGGCGCGGGTAGCTCGGGCTCCAGCCCGAGCAGCGCGGCCTCGGCTTTCCTGGGCAACTACCCGTGGTACCACCAGGCCTCGGGCTCCGCCTCACACCTGCAGGCGGCCCCGCCGCTGCTGCACCCCACGCAGACCCCGCAGCCGCACCACCACCATCACCACCACCACCACCATCACGGCGGCGGGAGCGCCCCGGTGAGCGCGGGAACAATTTTCTAACCCGAGGGAGACTGCGCCAGAGACTGAGAGCAGACATCCGTTATCTCAGTGCTCGCATCCAGCCAGGGGGTCCCTCCAGCAGGCCTGCCAACGCCACCCATCCCTCCTGGAGGTTGCGGCCCGGGATGGCCTGCCCCAGGCCCTGCTCCCCCGCACGGCCACCAAGAGGCCGGGAACTGAAAAGCTCCTCTCAGAGGCCCCTGGTTTGCGGCGTGGTGAAGGCCGCCGGCCGGGACCGCCTTTCCGATCTGAGCCCCGCCTCAGATTTTCCTCCCCTCCACTCCCCGCCAGGCAAAGCTGGCCGGCGCCTTCCTCGCCGCGGGCGGAGAGCTGAGGCCCGGACAGGGACGCCTCCCCCGCCCGCAAGGCTTCCTGGGCGATCTGAGGCTCCTTTCTCTTCGCCCGCCCCCAGGCTCTGCGCAGTCCTCTTGGGTTATTGACCTCCCGGGTCCTGCCTGCCTGCCCGCCCCCACACGCCTCCTTGACCCCGGCGGCCCGCCGCTTTTTTTCTGCTCTGCTGTTTCCAGCTTTTGGAGCCCCATCCCTCCCCCACCTTAGCTCTCCCCTAGGAACGCTCCCTTAGCTCTCTCCTCGTCCATCACCAGTGGAGTTTTTTTATTTTTATTTTTTTAAAAGTTTAGGTGCCTTTGCGGATGACCTCATTTTGATGTTGGGGAAAAAAAATGATTTTTTAATATGTGGACACTGCAAAAAAATGTGTTTAAATTATCTTTTTTAAAACCTATTCAGGATTATTAGCCTGGACTTCGACATAGTTTGTAAATAAAGGTGTCTGTGCAGATTTTCCCACTGATTTATTTGTATAAAATATTCATCTTTTCAGACTTTTTTGTAAACCCCACTTGTGAAAACTGCGATTTAGCAGTGACCTCAGAAAACCCTCCGGTTTATTTTTTCCTTAAAATTTTTCTCAGTTAAACTAAGCTACTGATTTGGAGTTTTATCTTATCCTAAAGTCTTTGTTCTTGAAATTAAAGGTATTTTGGGGTTATTTATTATGAAAACAACATGCTCTCAATGTTGATTTTACAATATGAAGAGATTATTTAAATAAATTATTGTTTTCATTGGATGTGTGCGCTTTCTCCTTGGTGTCACGACCTGGAAGGGAATCTGGTCAGCCAAGAGTGACTGACGTCTACCTGTTTCGGAGGCTGCCAGTGCGGCGAGGCGAGGAGAGGCGCACTTGGCTCAGCATCCCCGCGGAGTGTTCGAGCTCTGCCCCCACCAGGGTCCGGGCGCGGGGTTCGCCAGCTCTCCGTGCGGTGAGTCACTCAAGCGCCCGGTGGCTCCAGCCTCCGCCCTCTGGGTCCCTCCAGAGCCGACGCCACAGCCCTGCGCCAGGGCGGTCTCTGCCGCCCCCGCGACCCCAGTGCTGGCCAGGCAGTGCCTCTGAGCCTCGGGAAACCTGCAAGTTGGAGCCCGAGCTCTGCCGAAGCCCCAGTCAGACCCTTAAATTGGACCCTGCCCTCTTTGCCCTGTGGCCCGTTTGGGACTGGCTGAGCCGAGTCACCCAGGTCCTCGGGAGACTCAGTTGGCTGCTCTGGAATGTAGGGCTACCCCTGCTCACAGTGCTGTGCTAGCCCACATATGTGACTCTCACAGTCACATCTATACTATTGCACACACTCATATTGAATCACAGTCTTACTCACACACAAGAACACTGACACAAGTGCATGCACACTCACATTCACATACAGTGATATACAAACTCACATACACACACTCATGCATACATGCACACTGACACGGAGACTGATGCACATTGCTCTGCGAGTGGCATTTTTTCATCTCACAGTCTCCAAGGGGAAAGGTCCACACATCATTCAGCTCTGCTCTCTACCTTGGGTCTTACTCAACTTACTACCAACTCTGGAAGTGACCCTACTTTCTAGCATTCCCTGCAAAGGCCAGGAGTAGGTGAGTTATGCAGGCTTGAATTGAAAGTTCCTTTTCTTGAAAGTGCTGGGGCCTACAGTTGGAAGCTTCCTGGCTTCAATCACTAACTGTGACTTTGGGCTATCCACTTAACGTCTCTGTGCTGCAGTTTGCAGATCTATGAGGTAGGAGAAATAATAACAACTATCTCAGAGTTGTGAGCATTTAATAAGGCAATGATGTAACTAACATAGTGCCTAGCACATAGTAAGCACTCAATACATTTTTGCTATTCGTAGCAATATTGTTTGCTCCCAATGCTCCCCAAAAATGAGGCTTTACTTTGCTTGCAATTATGAGACCCAGAGTTACCCAGAGGCCTTTCCAACCTCATCTAGTGTGGAAGAACAGCACTTTGGAGCTGGGAGACCAATGGCCTGAACCTCAGGCATCCCCTCTGAAGGGACCCTGCTCTACTAAGGAGGAGGTTGGGGACAAGCCAAAGAGCCCTGCTTGCTAGACCTAGGCCTCCTCTCCTCTAGGATGGTTATTCAGAACATCCTTGTTGTGTCTCTTCAATCCAACTCCGCTGAAAACCAGAAATGGGATGGAAGTGACTTTCTAGGCTCAGTGTCATCATCCTGTGCAAAATCTGGACTTTTCTGGCCAGATTGTTTTAGGGCCTGAACAGAGCCTGCTTTACAACAGACTATGGTCCAGAGAGTTGGGGCTTTGGGGAAGGCAGGGAGGCTACACAACCCAGTGTCTGTTTGCATTCCTGTAGTGTTTTCCCAGGCTAGGAAGGCCTGGGCTCAAGCCCATTGACCCTGAGATTCTGGCTTTCCTAAGAAGCAGCTTCCTAGCAGACCCCCATTCCTGTTCTCCCTCCCCCAGCTACAAATTCCATGGTTTTCTTTGAGTGCCAATCGCTGGTGCCAGCCTTCCTTCTGCGGTTGACAGTGCCCTCCCCTCCTTTGCGCGCACTCCCCTCCCCCTCCTGAAACCAGTGAGGAGAGACAGGGCAGTAAATTGGCTGGTGTCGAGGATCTGCAGCAGACAAGATGATTAAGAGGCCTACGCCGGAGCGCCCGGGGCAGTGAATGTCAGCCCAAGTTGGAATCACGCAACAGGCCTTGGCATGAACGAGCCTGGGAGCCGGGAGGGCGGGCGGCTCCAGCTCCGGGGTGGGCTGAGGCCCCACAGACTCGCCGGAGTCACCGAACCTGGCACCCGGCGGCGGCGGGGTCGGGCCGGGCCAAGGCGCGCCTTTCCCCGGGAAGCCGGGGAAGCAGAGGGCAGGAGGGTGCAGGGGCCAGAGGAAGGGGGCGTTTCTGCATATGAGAAGGGCAAAGAGAAGGGAAAGCGAGGATATGGTAAGGTTCCAGAAGCGAGGGGGCGGGGAGGGGGAGGGGTGAGGAAGGGGAGAAACAAAGCTCGGCTGCGGGAGGCGGGGGCCGGCTCCAGCCCCGCCGGGGGCGACGCGCCGGCAAGCCTTTCTCACAGTCTTGCAGCCCGCTGGGAGACATGAAGCCCTGTGATCAGTCCGCGGCGGAGCGGACTCGCTCCCCACCCCCAGCGTCCGACTGCGTTCCCCAAAGCGCGAATGAAAAATGGAAATGGGAAGCAGCAATCTCGTCTCCCTGCAGTGGGAAACCAGCCGCGCACAGAACACACATAAATCTTCATTGTAGTCCCCTTCCATTTGCCCGCGTGAAATATCAGGCCAGAGACAGGATATGACAAGCGCTGGTAAGCCGAAGAAGGGAAGCCGAAGAGTGAAGAGTGCCTGCCCCCCTCGGTTCCACCTCCTGGCATCGTTGCTAGAAACTCCGGCGGAGCGCTGGCACTGAGTTCCAATTCCCCAGGCAGGCAGCCGGGGCGCACCCGCGCCCCCTCTGCTCCCATTCCCGCCACCTCCCCCCCACCACACACACACACCGCCTCCTAGCGCGTGCTTGGCCGCCCGCCACACTGTCCTGGGTGCTCCACTGGGCGTAGACACATCCCCTCAAGCTGCCCCGAATTCCCACCGCCCGCACCGCCGCTCCCGGGCAGGGGAGGGGAGAGAAGAAAGGGAACGGATCCCGGGCCTAATCAGCGCGGCCGCAATGTGGGACCGTTTAGGAGGCTTCCCCCTCGGCTTTCTTTCAGGATTACTCGTGAAAATTGTGAATATCCGTCCTGTGCAAAGATTTCCGAGACTGGTGGGGTTGAGTCAGGGGGGAGTATCAGGTTTGTTGGGGGCGGAGAGAGCGCGGGAAGACTGGAGATTTGTTTACAAACAGTTTTGTGGTAAAGGGGGAAACGGGGAAAGAGGGTAAAGAGAGGAGTGCGGAAGTGGTCGATGGTCTCCTCCACTGTTAAAATCCCCCATCGCTTTAGAAAAAAAAAAATTGCCCTCACTGACTGTAAAACCCAGAAGCAACTCCCCCACTCCAACACCGCCTCCCGCCTCTCTTCACCGAGTCCCGGTCCCAAGAACTCGTTAAAAAGTCACAAGCCAGCTCCTTTCCCTCCAGGGAACAGCGACCGTCAGTGCCTTAAACCTATTGTAGGGACAGAGACCCCTTTGAGAATGAAGCTACGGATTCCCTTTTTCATCTAAAATACAAGTCCCTTTACATTAGACTTTGGGGTCGGGGAAGCGGGTGGGTGGGACGCGTTCCGGTGGGACGCGTTCCT